TGGAAAAATGAAAGGTTCTTATTGGATATTTTGTGTTCATAACCGGACCGGACTGGGTTAAGCCCATGAGTTTAGGCTCATTTTGATATTTCTATATAAGAGAATAATGTGGAAAAATGAAAGATTATTATTGGATATGAAAAATGAGTTGTATTATTTAGAATGTTTTCATTGGTCATTCATTTTAACTGAGGTGTCAACACCATAATGTTTAAAAAAGCTGAGGTGTCAACCTTTGGAGAGATTCAAGAGTTATTATTGTATTGATTACTATCCAACAACTTCAACAAAAACATAGAATATCATCACCTAATCGTTCGCGCGGTTAACTATAGCCCGTAAGCCCATCATTGCAGATCCAACCAATAAACTTTTTTTTTTTTAATTTAAGAAACATAGATCCAACCACTGAAATCCATCCTATAATCCACCTGAGTTATTTTGTTAAACAAAATCAACTAACAGGACAACTAACCAAAATGATAACTGCTAGAAAATAAGAAGCTAGTTATGTTTTTTCATATTAAATAAAAAAAAAACAGTTCTCCTAAAATATACAATGATTGTGCGATCAATTGTGGAAGTTTGAACCTTTGTTAAAATTTATTAGCATTATTGTATGAGATAAACCAATATAATTAAATACCGAATAGAGACAAATTCAAGGTTTATATAGATTAAAAAAAGGTATGCCAATTAGTGTGTATACCTTTGGTGAGGCAATTATTAGACATCTTATCAACACATTGATCCTAATCTTATTCTTTTAAATATTTGGCATGAAAGATTAAGCCAAATGATTGATCGATGCCTTTGGTTAGGTAAATCCTCGTGAACCACACTACACTGTTCTTTTTGTATTGGATTATGAAATAATATAGAACACATTTTCTAGTCTTATTCAAATGTCATAATTAGGGTTGATTAATTTAGATATAAATATTTTCTACTGTTTTTCGGTTTCTAGAAAAAAAATATGTTGATGATGAATTTCTTTTACCACTTTGAAAGTCGAAGACTATATGGGAAACTAGACACGATCATGGTTTCCTACATCCAAAAAAATGAGAAAGATTCAATTAATCTGAAACTATATTGATATATTTTAGAACAAGAAAAGTAGGTGCGCCTATAATAGACAGAGAAAGTATAAGACATCTTTGTTAAAGAATTTAAAAACTATTGGTAATAATGCATGTTTGTAAGCCACCGTTTAATCAATTATTAGACACCAAATCAGCACAGAAATCCTATCTTTTAGCATTCATATACATACATATCTTGGGTGCAAATTTAAGAAACATGCAGGTATATACTTGTTGTTGTCTAACATATATAATTATTTTCTTGTATTGTATAAAATGAGCAAATTTAAAATGTTTAGATTTTCATTTTCAAAATTTTGAAAGAAAAAAAAATATATATATATATTTGGTCATTAATCAAGAAGTTAAGTTTTCTACATTTTGCATGTACATTTGTATATGACAATACGACAGTACTAATCGCCTTTGGATACCTGAAATCAGTATATGCTGATTTAGATGAATGCAATGACATAGATTTGAACCATGTTACAAAAATTCAATTGACAATGAATCTCATACTTTATACATCACCGTTCACCTCTACGCATCTATATCTACATTTACAACCTACCAAATAAAATAAAAACAAAAGAAACTCTAACCAACAAGTTTGTCCGAAAGTCAAGACCACAAGGCACAAACGACAAAAGAAAAAACTAAGACTAATAAAAAAAAACAGAGTTTGTTATCTCTACAACAAGATTCGAGCAAAATGATGATGATGTTTAGGATCTTGAACGATCATTTGTTTGGATTTGATTTCCTCAGCGCAACGCAATGCCTTTTCGATTTGATAACCTCCTCCAATGCTAACCTCTCTTTCAAGATGACAACAATAACTCTCGAACACAGTCACATTAACATGTAGCTTGAATCCCATCAAGAACAGAAACTCTAACTCTAACTTATTCAAATCCTCTGTCTCTAATCCACCTACTTTCGCAAAATATGAATTCCTGTAATTCCTGAAAAACAAAGAGAGAAACCAATTCAGAAAAAAAAAATCTAATTAAACATAATTCAAGTTTTTAAGGAAATATTTTTATTGGATACTTACAAATCTTCGACGTATTTAGAAGCGATCATGATGGTGGTGATGAGGAGACGATGTACATTGGTGAGACTGATTCTAAAACTAGGATTGGTTTGACAGAACCGGTCAATGTAGACATAAGCTACCACGTAAACCGAAGGACCGGCTTTAGTGTACCGGAAAATTCTCTCTAGGTACGATTGGATTGTCATATCAGGGATTTCACGGCAATCAAAGATCTGAGTTTTGCCACCGGCGCCGGAGGAAGGCAAAGCTCTCCTGCTAATCCTCTCGTTTCGAGTCAGAGTTCGATCGATCAGTGACGATAAAACAGAGATAACCAGAGGTGTCTCGGAATTGTTTTGGTATGAGTATGAGTAGAGATCAGACCGGAGTTTCCTCGGAGAGATTGTTAAAGAATTCGAAACCGCCATTGATGTTTTTCTTATTGTTTCGTCGGAAAAATAACAAAGTTTGATCAACGAGAGGAAGAGAGGATTTGAAGTGATGAAGTGAAAGGGAGAGGTTTTGTTGAGGTTTTATATATAAGCCTTGTAATGTAACGCTTAGGTGTACCTTCCTCTTCGTTTCGTTTATTTAAATGTATGTTAATTTTACTAACCTTCGTGTGTATTATATCGTATAATAATAGTTATGTATCATGTAGTAACAATTTAAATACAGTTTCATTTGTACGGTAGGTCAATGTTTTGATTATTAGGTATGATCAATATTTCAGAATCGGATCTCAGTAATCCTTGTTGAACAAGATTTACAAGTGTACGAGGAAATGATGTTTTAAGATTTGGAATTAATTATTGCATCTAAATCATATTATTTCAGTTTAATTGTATAAAAACTAAATGATTGTATTGATTCGAAAAATCCCGGTTTCAAAGCATATACAATCATAAAAGGTTATATGCCTCTTTTTGTATCTTTAATTTTTATCAATCATATTGCTTATTTAGAAAATTATTCATCGCTTTAAGTAGGTGTACATGCATTTAGGAGATCAAATATTTATAGTGATGAATTGAATTGTACAGTTTTTACATTGTCCGAAATAGTTGCAATATCACAAAATACACAAACAAACAAGTACAAATCTCTGAAACACGGAGATAAATTAGACGCAACAAATATTTAATACATACCTATAGTTTTATAGATATACAACTGGAAGAATTTTCAAATGGAATTTTGTGGAAAAAGAGAAACGACATCGAGTTTTGGAGTCATATGGAAGGTGGAAAGAAGCTACTAAAACAAGCAATTCTTTTATTTTTTATAAAAAGCTAGTAAGAAAAAATAATAATTTAAAAGATTTGTGTGTCTCTTTTTGTAAGCCAACGTACAGATATAACAGCTAGTTTTTCCATTTATATTGTAATTTAATTATTATTTAAATATGTTCAATAACCAAATCCAAAGTACTTCAAATAAACAAATCCCAAACTAAGAATCGCCGCCGACAGTTTGGTGAAAGGTGAAGAGAAGTCAGCGTAGTCGAAAGTCTCTGTGACAATCAGAAGCTTAGCTTCGGGAACCACCTGATGACACGTATACTATCATTCACACGTGTGAATCTTGTCAACTTACTTGTAAAGTTCGAAATACCAGACGGCGACCCACACGTGCGGTTGTTCCATCATATATATGAAAACTTCTTTTTTCATGGTCACTTACCGGATCAACATAAAATTACTCCAATTATAATCTTCTTCTTTTTTTCTCTTGCTAATTGGTATTGGAATGGTATATATATATATTTTGGTGAGCGAGAAATATATATAGACATATAGTTATGAGAAATATAGATTTTACTAGGATATGACCCGCGGTACACCGCGGGTTAATTATTTGATTTTTTATCGTTTTATAAATCGATGAATTTGTTGTGTATAATATTTTTTGTTGTACACCGTGAATCACATGCGTTGTAACTAAAAAATGAAAATTTTAAGTTGTATTTTTTTTGTTTAGTGTTTAAGATTGTATAATTGTATTTTTATTTGTTAATCTAAGATTTCACCCGTGGTATATTATCCCATAATAATATCGATCCAAACCCGTCCCACCATATAATCCCATCATGTGAAATTAAACATTATTTTGTTATTTTTAATAATATTCTTATTTAAAAGACATATAATTCAAATCAATTTAAAAGTTTGCTTTCAAATAGTTTCCATAATATATATAAATTAGTGTATGTTTTTGGACCAAGCCGTAAAAACAATTATAATTGTATCTTAAAATACTAAATAATTGTATTTTGATTTGTTAATTTTAGGATTTCACCCTTGGTATATTGTCCCGTTAATTTTAGGATTTCACCTGTCGTATACTCTTCCGTCTCGTAATGCACCTCGTTCAGTATTATTTTAAAATTTTAAATATTCATATAATCTCTTAAAATTTTGGTTAAGCTTAAATATATCATTGTAGTGTAGATAGCCCATAAGGCCATATTCAGTGGCACAACTGCTGGGGTGATCTTGAGTAATAAAAAAATAGAAAAAACTCCAACAGTAGAGCATTTGAGCAAGATCTCATCTTGAGTTGGATTGTCTCTCTCTTACCCCCTCATGTAATATCATTATATATATATAATATTATTATAATAACTTTAAGATCAGTTGCTCCATTGTAGATGGCCTAAGGCCTTTAAATGAAATGATAAACAAAACCCATTATGTACACGAAAGGAGTTCAAAGAGTGTGTTTGCGTTGTCGTGTCATGTGGATCTTCTCGTCATCTTTGTGTGTGTCTCTCTCTCTCTCTCTCCCTCTCTCTCTCTCTCTTTCTCTCTCTATTGAGAAAAAAAGAAGATAAGCTTTGAAATCTCAGAAGAGGGTTCGTCTTCAACATGAGGATTCGATTCGATTTGATGTGTTTTGAGCATCTGCCTTCTAATCGTCTGCGTCTTCTTCCTCGGGCTCGCCCTTGATCCACCGGCCTTGAAATCTGATAAAAAAAACGACAAAACTGTTGAATTGAACACTACCAACTGTTATTCAGTTCTTAAAGAAACTCCAACATAGGTAATTTAGTCTCTCTGAGTATATATAAAATTTTGTTTCTAGAATTGAATTTTGAATAGTTTATTCGTATTTTATGATCTCTTAGCCTCTTAGTTTGGTAATTAGACTCAAGTAATGATGTTGCAATTAAAGGCATGTGAAAATTGTAAGAATCAGACGAAATATTGTTAAATGGTTCAAATATAGTGAATTTTGTTTTAGTTTATGGTCTCTTAGGTTGATGATTCAATTCAATGTATAAATTAAAGACTTACTTTCACGTTTCAATAGATTGGCAGAAATGTTGTCCACTTTCACAACTTCATCCAAAGTTTTCAATGCTTCTGTATTCTCCTCGGGTTATCAGCTTTTCAAAGCGATTAACATGTTTCTTTCTCACTGAAGCAAGAATCGTTCACTCTGTAAAAAAAAATTGTGAGCATTTGCAGATAATGTCTTAAAAAGAGTAATCATACTATAGACTCAATTTTGGCATCTTACTTGCATATCAGCCAACACCATGTCCAACGTCTCACCAAATCTTCCTGTGTATGATTTTCAGGTATGAAGGACCCTCACTTCAGGTTGCCATGTTATCTTGTAGGGTTTCACATCTCTGAGAAATACAAAGGAAGCCGCCATTGCTAGATTTGATGAATGAAGGAGAATATGAAGAAATGAGGTAATTGCTTGATGATGTAGAAAATCGACTGAATAGCGATATTTATAGAGAACTTAGATGTCTAGGGTTGGTCAAGTCAATTTGAGAAAATTCTTTGAGAGCAAGTAAATAACTAAGATACGGGAAACTAAAAATGGATTTTTAGCTTAATCACAATGAATATAACAAAAGTTTTAAGGAAAGATTACAATTTTGTGAAGTAACAATATATATTCGATTGAATATGATGGAAGATTGTAGATAATTTTGTTTAGAAAATCTTGTTTGATCGAATATGTAGAGAGAATATGGTTTTAAATAGATACCAAAATTAAGGATTTCATAGGATTTGCATTTATCGTGTAATCTTTAAATCATTAATCACATGTTTTGCATAAATCTAAGGCAATATCCTCATTTTTATTGTTCATTTTATTTAGGAAAGAAATAGAATTTGCACTAAACTCATTAGCACCTAAATAGGAAACGATTTACACCGGAATTATATGTTTGTTATAACTACTAAATCAATCATTTTAGGAATTCTTTTAGGAAAGTCTCATAACTATAGGTCTAACGTTTAATGCGGATCATTGAGACATTGTTAGGATTTGGTAGATTAGGAATGTAACTAAGCGAATATTTAGTCGAATTACTTGATTTTTTTTTTGGAAAGTCTCATTTAAAAGAATTCGAGAGTTTTGATTGGCTATTGAATCGGGTCAAAAAAAAATTCCAGGTCAAAATCTCACTAATTACCCGATCCGATTGGTTTTGAGCAAATTTGTACTTCAAAAATGTTAAGTATATTAAAACAACAAAGGTACAAGTCAACATCGGTCGCAGAAGAGAGTGGTCTATAAAATCCCACCGTCTAAATAGGTATAATATACATGTTACTATCAACAATACATTGCATGTGCAATGCATATATTGCCTTGAGACAAATCAACTTATCAAGTTCTGTCGTCTTTATGGAAATACCTAGTTTATGTAGTGATGTATAAACTATATACGTCATTCTTTTCATTCTTTTATTCTTGTGTGGATAACTGAAATCCGTATGGGTAATAATAGTCCACTTGTAATATATATGGACGCAATAAAAACAGAAGTTATAAATGGTCTAAAAATCGAAAAAATAAAAAAGCTATACCAATCTACCACTACCGAACGAATGAATTGCTGAATGCAAACAAACAAATTAAATTGTGAGGAAAGTAGAATCTACAATCAGATTTATTGAAAAAAATATCAATGGCACCATCAATTCAGATTCCAAAAAAAAAATATGAACCACATATCATCTCTTGATCAAACTATAACTACTTGTACGTAGTCATTGTCTACTTGTATGTATCCCTACACTATATTTATTAGAATGACAAGAAGTTATGTTCTTTCTACTTTTCAACAAACTATATTACACTGAGTTCGTTGGAGTGTATTGTTTTATATGCGACGTATACATATATGCTTCTATATATTAAACTAAAATTGTCTTCATCGATTTTCATTTTTAGTTGGATTCTACCTTTGTCGTTGGACTCTAGTGTTCATAATACTGTGTCATGATCACTACTAAACTGAGATATAAAAATATAGGTTTCAACTGACAACACTAGCTAGGAAATAATTTAATCATATATATTGAACAAAAAATTTAGAATGAAAAGGAATATGAAATGATATGTTGACGAATATATATTTAACCGGAAGAAAAAAAAACATGAAATGGTAAAATATTTAACCGGAAAATGGAGAATCATAAATTGTTGAAGTTGAAAATATATCTTTTGTTTAATATTAATAAATATTACAAATATGTAGACTTATACAGAGATAGAAAGTAAACCAAGACTTTTGGCCAACAATCGCTGAATTGAAGGATAGTGGGTTTAAGATGATGGTCGCGACTCTCCATAATGCTGATGAAATTCTTATGAGAATTGCCGATGTCACTTGGATTTGGGAATACATGAAAACTGGAAAAGGTCCTTGTCATTCTACCAAACCGAGTACCTAAGCGAGACCAATTATTTTTGTCAACGGAATTATATTAATCTAACTTTGATTACAACAAACAAACAAAGTTGGAGACTCTTTGCCAAAGAGAAGTTTTGTCCAATGCTTGAAAATGAGATACAATTGAAAACAAAGCTTGAAAACGAAACGATAGAAGGTTAGATCCGTGGAAAATAATCGGAAACTCCATTGCGGGGGCTTCGAGAATGATCGGTTTGAAGTCGATCGTCAACACTCGGTCTTGTAAGATATCCGAGGATGATGCTGGTTCTGTTGCCAAAAGAGGCGAGTGAACAACTTGAGCTCTAAATGCCATCAAGGCTGAGCTTTTAGATACACTCTCCATATCGGAGAGGATAGATGAAATGGGTCTCTTCTCGAAAGAGAAGGAAGAAGGACATGATTTCTCCAAGAAGGAAGAAATATGTGAAAATGATCTCTCCATAGCGGAGGAAGGTCTCTCCATAACGGAGGAAGGTCTCTCCATAGCGGAGGAAGGTACATCAGTAGAAACACCGGGAAGGTTGCCAAAAGAAGCCTTGGTGAGGCAAACAACCAAATTGGAGTCAATTGGGCTGAGAAACAGGCCAACAAATAAGACTGAGCTCACTAGGCCCACTAAACTGGAGGAAAGCGATGGGCCCATCTCCATTGTCTTGGAATCACGTTTAGCTGAACGGTGGAGGAGAACGTCGCCGGATACACATGGCTGACCGGCGGGACAAACTACGGTAGAGGAGGAGGGAGAACAACTGATCTCCGAAAGTGAAAGGAAACTTGCGGACGACAGAGGAGAAAGGAGAGAGATGCAAGGAAACAAAGAGGTGGACGGAGATTGCGATAAATCCGGCGGATCCGGTGGATCTGGTGGCTCCGGCGGGTGGAGAGGGTTTGGTGGCTCCGGCATAATCCACAATCGGAGGTTAAGGAGAGGCTTGAGCAAAGTTTCCTGAGATGTCGCAGTGGAAGGATGAAACCAGAGAGCAGAATTCGAAAACGTGCAATACGCCATGGAGCGATGAGTTGAACAGAGCGATATCAGAGGAGGCGTGAAAGATCTCGCCGGCGAAGCAGATTAACCGGCGGAAGTTGAAACGGTTCTTCGGAAATCTTTGGACGGACCCGAGAAAGTCGAGAGAAGAATCGCTCAGGCGAAGAAGCAAACGGAGGACACTCGCCAGTGGAAGCAGAACATCTTGGCTTGGAAGAGCGGCTACCTCGGGCGTCGGGCCTGGGAGAGAATAGCTAGGGCAAACTCTTTTCCAATTTTTTTATATAAGCGAGACCAATTAATGAACAGTTTATTGCTTTGAGCTGTAAAAAGTGAATGTAGGATGACCTTTTTTGTTTTAGTTTCTATATTTATGAACTCCATTATCCTTCGGTTATATTATGTAAATAAATTATTTACAGAAAAACATTTGACAACATGTTAATATCATTCACCACGAACATACGTTATGCAACATTAGTACAGTTCTAGTAATCTTAATTAAGACTAATTGCAAATAAATAAATAAAACTCATGGGAAATTGACGTCATAAGATATAGATTGCATAAACCTAAATGAATGTGAGGATTAAAGAAAATAAGTTTACAAAGCAATACAATCATATACTTTTTAGACTTTTTAGTAAAGTTGTAAGTTGGTGACTGATTAATGTTTTCGTGTGAGTCAAAACGATTATGATTGAGGTACCCCCTATTTTACCATAGGTATTTCATATAACGCAATTTTCTGATTTGGTTTTAGCCAAGAGATCAGCTAGCCAGAGATTCCCCGGCCCAATAAATATAAGAGTCTTTAGGGTTAAAAAAACATTTGGGCCTTTTACTATTGGATTATTCATATTAGTTTTTTTGGGCCTTATTGTTTTTTTAATAAATGTTAGGCCTTTTTATATAAGAAAAAAATTAAAAGGGAAAATGAGTCTTAGACATTTGCACCATTGCCCTACCCACTTGACCCGGGCCTGGCTCAGAATTAGTTTTGTTGGGAGTTTGCATCCTTCTCGTGAGATCATCGTAGTGATGCTCAAATTTGTGTTCTTTTATTTACTAGAGGATAATCCGGGCTACGCCCGATATATTTAACATTTGATATTTTAAAGTTTGTTAACTAAATACTTTGTTTTAGTTTCTTTAGTATACACTGTGAAAAATCATACTATAATGTTATATTTGACATTTTGTAGATAAAACATATATGTATGATACTATTAATTTTTAGAATTTTTTTTTAGTATCACTGCCACAGTATTGGTTGCTTGTTTTTTATGATTATAACTTTTGAGTTGCTCAAGCTAGATGTCCTATTTCTCATGAGTAATTTTGTTCTCCATTATAATAACTTTGGATGCATACAATGGTATTCGAAAGCACAATTAGAATCTTGAACTCACAATTACCATCTAAGAAAACTCTTTCAAGTTTATTGACACAACACCAACACTGGACGCCTTTGGAACTGTAGTGATGTTTTTATCATACTCTTTATTTAGATTCATTTTATAGAAGTTTAATAGTTTTTCTCATAACTTAAATTTCTTCTTTTGGCATTTAAGTAGGTAGTTTCAAAATTACTTTTCAATATATACAAATTAAATTATCTGAACAAATTTGACGCACATATGACATATCTCAAAAGGTTGAACTTTACTCATCCAAGAATTAGCTTCGACTGTTCCACATAGTGCGAGAATGGAGTAAAGGAAATACAAATCTATGAGCTATATAGCAAACATTACAAAGCCTTTGTCAAATTTGATATATGGACGATATAAAGGAGCCTTCAAACGCACGACACTATTCTTATACATTTGCAGTAGATTAACATTTAGACGTTTCTCATATAAATGCAAATGTATCTATATGGATTATTATTATAAGATAATCCATTGAAAGATTATGATATAGTAAGTAAAATGATCTTGAAATTAACTTTAAAGACAAAAGTAAGAGAGGTTGAAAGAGATCTTCTTAATCCCCTAATATGAACTTTTAGGAAAGAAGGAGACAACAAAGCTCTTCCGACGACCTGTTAATGGTAACATTGTAAGACAAACAAAGGTCGCTCAAACGTCCTTCATTTTTTTCCAAGGGTAGCATTCACCATACGAAACCTCTTCTTTTGGTTATGTTCATAAACAACCTGGAGTACAACACAGACAACTACAAAGGTGAGGATAAACTTCATTAAAAATAACTAACCCTTTGACCCCCAAAGTAAATCGTTATTAGTGGTCTAATTCAGTTTCATATTCAAAGCTTAAAATGGAGAACGGACAAACATATGCAAATACATTAACACGTACGTTACTATTGACAATGCAAAAGACATGTACTTTTTGATAAAACAAACAAACATTTTCTATCTCATGTTTCATGAGACAAAAGATAACACATGTAAGGTTTGCATATGTTTTATGATATGGTTAAAAATCTCAAATTGGGCATGTCTGCAGATTCGTCTTCTCCTGTAACGAAATAGAAAATATGTGAACTTAGGCGATTAAGGTTTTATTTTTGTTTAAGAATATTAAAAAAATGCAGAATCATATACACAAGTGACTGGAGATCCAAGCAAGAGATGCAATTGATAAAAGAAATCTATACTAATAAAAGGCTTTATAGGAGATGACTCTCCGCATTGCCGCAGTTACGAAGGGTAATGGAAGGTGAATGGCCGATTCCATAACAAAACGTAGAAGACCTGAAAGCCTTAAAACTATAGATGACGTGGCATGTTTTTTGGGAGGATGGAAGAGTAATGACGTGGCGTCCTCTGAAAAAGTTGCAAAAAGCACCGTCAAGGTCATCTAAAGTTTGTTTGCTTAGTGGTTTCTCATGGAGGAAGGTAGGTGAAGCTGCCATGATTATTTTTCTGGGTGGTGTTACAAACTTTTGGTGGTGATGGTTGCATTAATGAGATGTAGATTTTATAGGGTCTCGGAAGAGAGGATAACAATGAGATTGAAGTGGCCATTTAAATCAAGGGGTAGTGGGCAATTAAGAAGAGTAACGGTTATGCTTAATTGCAAAAACTTGGAAGACTATGCGGTTTGAGTTAGTGTTCGTCAATGGCTACGTAGGGTTAAACGTAGGGCTGGGCATTCGGGTATGCGGGTCGGGTTCGGGTAAAACCCGATCGGGTACGGATCTTTCGGGTAGAGGAGTTTAGGACCCAATAGGGTAAATCTAAAATATCGGTTCGGTTTCGGTTCGGATCTAATCGGGTTCGGATCGGTTCGGGTTTAGATTTTTAGAACCGTTAAATACCCAAAAAAATCGGGTACCCATCGGGTTCGGGTATTTTATACCCAAATACCCAAAATTTTACCAAATACCCGAATTTTATCCGAAATTTTATCCTAATATCCGAATTTTATCCGCAATTTTACTCTAATATCCGAGTTTCACCCGAAAATTTATCCGAATAACCGGAATTTTTTCCAAATATTTAAAAAATTTACAAGCATCTCGCGTATAAATATATTTTGTCTTAAATATTTAAATATAAGTGCATTTAATTTTTGGTAACTATTCTCGGATATTTAGATATAAATGTATTTAGCTCAAATATTACATATATAAAAAGTTTTATATGTATAAGTATATGTAATTTCGGGTAATCGGGTACCCGTTCGGGTATCGGGTTCGGATCGGGTTTTACCCTATACCCACGGGTACGGCAATACAAGACCCAATAGGGTAAATAGCTAATACCCGTACCCGCCCCGAACCGGTTTTTTCGGGTCGGTTTCGGTTCGGATACTCGGGTACGGTTTTTTTGCCCAGGCCTAGTTAAACGTAGAAGAAGAAGAGTTCGTGGTGTGTCTAGTGATGGACTTGAGATATATTCGTTTGGGCTTTTGTTTTTCTGTTTGGGCTAAAGTTTCAGTTTTTATCTGAGCTCATTAATAGTAGATAGATGGCTCCTAATTATTATTTTTTATTCGTGTTATAAGACAGGTTTGAGCGAGAAATTTTTAGGTTAATTTGTTGTTGACGTGGCATCCTCTTAGGTGGGTTTTATTTTGCTGATGTAGACACTCTTTTGTGAAAAAAAAAAAAATGATGTAGACACTCTTAGAAGCCTCAAATTGTCTCTTTTATTAGTAGTAGATTTTTCAAAATTTTAATTAATATTTTAGCGTGTAAAGATCATACGAGATATAGCATATACGTAGAATAACGGGCCCAGCCCAATAAATGGAGTTGGGCTTAAGCTTAAGGGTTTTTATTTATACAAGTTGTCTCTAATCTCACAATTAGTTTTGAAGGGACTTTTTGGAACGAATTCTAGAACCAAAGGCAAATTACAGATTGTCGTCCACGTGTCAATACTAAATTGGATGTCTTTACATTTCACGAATGACGTGGCGTTATATAATTGGTCTTCACGCGAACGAATTGCGTGGCCTCAGAACAGGCAAAAACTCATTCATAAAAAGAAATGGTCGACGAGTCTGCGATTTACGGACATTGACGAATTCTCCTTAATCAGAAATTGAAGCCGAATCAGGTGAATTCTTTTACTCGAATCTCGTTTCTGTGAATCTAAGAGACAGCTATCTCGCAATGTTTTGATTGTTTGCGATCGAAGATAATGATAGGGTTTGTAACATGATCGCATATATTTGTCTGATCTAGATGCTGATTTCGCTAGCGTAACTGTTGGAATTGTCCGATTATGACACGCTTTATTGATTTTGCATGCCCAATTTTGCTTTTTTGGGCTGTGATGCTGAATCTTGAGTTTGGATCATTATGGATCAGATTATCAAGAATGATTAAATTGTTGGTTAATCTGAATCTGTTTATTTGACATTGCTCTTAGATTTAACAATTGGGTTAAATTAGATGTATATATTTATCATAGCTCTAGAAGATGTTTATAATAAAACATTTGACATTGCTTTTAGATTTCATCTTTGATCTCTCTATGGTTTTATAAACATTTGCTGCGGAGATTTCTATTCTAAGTTTGTTTTTTTATTGACTTTAGTTGAAAAACAAAAAGTGAAGCAAAAATGGTTGGAGGTGGAGCTCCACAGCGAGGAAGTGCAGCTGCAACTGCAAGTATGAGGAGGAGGAAGCCTGGTGGTAGTGCCGGAGGTGGAGCAGCTGGTACAATGCTTCAGTTCTACACAGACGACGCCCCTGGTCTCAAGATTTCTCCAAATGTTGTTCTTATCATGAGCATTGGTTTCATTGCTTTTGTTGCTGTTCTTCATGTCATGGGTAAGCTCTATTTTGTCAAGAGCAAATGAAGAGGATACAAACAAAGCTATGTCATCATACCTTTTTCACGGTTTAGAATTTTGTCAGTATAGTCGTTTCATTCACGTTTTGAGTTTTTGTTGTTTTCTTGACTAGTCTCAATCGATCTCAACATTTTGCAGTTTCTTGCTATTTCAAAGTTTTGTCTTTCTTTATACAAACTTTTAATCCTCTTGTTTCTTGGCTTGGTTTAGTAGATAGTTTAAGCGGAAAATTAACCGAATTAGATTAGTTTGCTATGGTATTATTTCTGGTTTCGATAGCTTAATTTGAAGAACTTGCTTCTGTTTCGATTCGGTTTTGGGGTCCTGGATTTGAATAAACGGTATCATTATACACCACATTATGGTTCATTTTTCAGATCATTTGTTTGTTCTGTTTCGGTGTTACGGCCTTGCCAGTTTAGTTTATTTAGAAGAGGTTTAAGCACTTTGTATAAGAGTATTGGCAATTTCTGTTTCAGATGACATAAACCAAACTGAAGTACAATTGATGGGAGAATTGGGTTTGGAATGACATTGGTTACTATCTTTAAGAAAGTGGTAAACTGAATTGCCTCGCAAAATGTCAAAAATTCAAAGTCTTAAGCATGTACGAAAGATTGACCAACATGGCATGTGTGATATAACATCATAATAAGTCACAAAAAGCAGAGTCCATGGTGGTTGAGAGAGGCTTTTATATCTGAAGAGAAGAAAATTAAATGCCGCCAATAAAATCATTTAATGATATAACTTTTAAGGAAAGCCGTGAAACCAAAAAAAAAAAACAAAATCAAATGAAATTACCAACAAATTAATGACGTGATTAGCAAAGTTCCAATTTATAAAACTAATACTGATAATTAAGTCCTTAACCCCTCCCGTCGGTCACGTGATCATCACCGTTAGGATTACGACACGTCACCAAATAACAAAAACCCTTGAAAAGAAAACCCCCAAATTTACTGCGGCTGAAACGGCGGAATTCGAACGCAAGATTCTTGTTGTTCCTTCTGTCGCCGGAGCTCCATAACTTTCCGGTGAGAGTTCGAATGCTGAGTCAACACAAACGTCGGACTCGAAGCCGGTCTGTATTCCGGTACAAGCCTTCCTGATTTGTAACGAACTCCACAAGCGTTACAAAGCGTTTTAGGTCCAAGCGGTCCAGTTCTCCACTGTGGCGTTTTCTCCGACGCGCAGTGCGTGCACCGCCTCGCTCCTCCTCCTACATCCGCCGTAATTGATTCGGCGTTGTATACTTTCTTCGGTTTAGGTTTAGCGACAGAGTGACAAAGCTCGGATTCAGGCATCGGAGCCCAAGTTCCAGCTACGGAAGGTGCTGGCGCTCTTGATCGGCGACTTCTAGGTTTTCCGGTGAATGAAATCTCAGGTCTAACGGTCATGGTTAAAGGATTCGCTGGGAAATCGGAGAATGAATCGTCAACGAATCGTGATAACCATTCGAGATGAGCTGCGTCGTCACTCTGCAAATCAAAAAATCAGAACTCAGAAATTCAAAATCAAAATCAAAATTAGGGGAAATTGGAATTTGAAACGTACGGGAACGCAGAGATCGTGAGTGAAATCGGTGAGGAGAGGAGGAGAAGTGTAGGCGGAAGAAGGGAAGTTGAAAGGGTTCTCAGATGGGAAAGAGGAAGATCCGGCGGAGGAAGCGGCGGAGGAAGTGACGGTGGAGGAAGTGGAGGAAGAGAAGATTTCGTCGTTTGAGAAATCGAGAAGGTCGTCGATACGAAGCAAGTCCGGTGATGACATGCCGTATACGTCCATTGTTAACTCGCTCACTGAGTATGTGGTCACTGGTTCAGAGGTTTAATATAGAGAGAGAGAGAGAGAGAGAGAGAGAGAGTTAGTGTAAGTGTGGAAAGAGACGAAGATGAGAGAACGTGCATAGAGTTAACATGCACCGAGACTGACCTGACCACTCCCTTTTTTCTATATATTTATCGACTTTAATATATTTGTCTACATTTTTCTTTCAACATGCATGTGCTATATTTCATTTACTTAACAGGATTAATTAATCATGAATTACATTTCTGTCATGATACATATATACTATATAGAATAGAGTATGATAATTTTGATTAAACAAGTAATGAAGCGGACATTAGATACATGCAAGGTTACTAATTTCTTTTCAATAAAACTCTCCAGTTGTTAAATGAATTCTTCTGCCATCTCTGAAAAAGATTTGCTGTTTTTTTCACATCGTTTAAATTGTGTATCCGACTATTTCAGATGTTGAGCTCTTGATGTTTTTTGTAAAAAAAAGTTTCTCCTGAATGTGTAATCAATCATATGGGTCAGTTTTGATTAATCGGTAGGTTGACAAGTAAACCCAAAAATGTCGTTAAATTTCAACAAGGCAACCAAAATAATAAGGAAATACAAATTGATGCGAATGTATGACTATTTTGTTTCTTGTGTTTACCGAATTATTTCGCATTTTGCAATCAAGCTTAAAAAGAAAGAGAGACGGAAGTGGGACTTCGATCTTTGTCGAATAGAGTATACATAAGTTGTTGACCAAAAAAAAAAGAAGAGAATACATAAGTTTAATAATATCATTCTTCAGTACCTAGCATGTCTTTCACAAGTTTGCTTAAGAAATAATGTGATAATGTTTAGAAATATCCTGATGAAGTAACAAAAATTTAGTTTTGAAGTATAAGTTCTGTTATCGGCATTTTACAATATATATATTTTTTCTTTTGACAAAGAGTTGTTTTGACATTATATTTAAACATTGAAGAGATAACTATAAAAATGTAGTGGGGAATGGGTAAATGGATGGAGACAATCAAGGAGATGAGTCGACCGACGATCCGAAGTGCATTGCACTTTGGTTCTATAAATTCCTATGGCCCTCTTTTTAGGTTTATATACATATTTTTTTCCCTATCATTTATCTTCTTTATGTCTCTTTCATGCATTGCTCCTTCATAAATTTATTCAGTTTTTTCAACTATACACAACTACTCATATATGTACAAACACGCACGACACATGCATATGATATAAAGAACGGGGAACCAATTGTTGTGAACATTGTTATCATATTTCGGCTAGAAATAAAAATTCATATGCATCACTATCTTGTGTTCAATTTTTATGTGGCACCGCCAATCATCATAAGGCTTCGGGCAGATGTATCTGATTTCTTAATTGAATTAGAACTTAGGATAGACATTGCGTGTATATGCAATAAAAACATATTCCAATGTACTTCAGTTTTAAAGAGTAACACATATATATATGTTTTCCAAGGCTTTGAAGTTAGAACAGTGACTCCTTTTTTCCTTTTTTCCTTTTACAACTGCAATACATGCTTTTGTCAAAATTTCATAAAAAATAATACAGTAAGGCACATATATCTTTCTTGTTCATAAAAGAAAAAGAAAAAAAATTGCATATAAACTGATTGAACGTTCGCAGAATAGCGTGGCTCAACGTGTTGAAGTGTTTGGTCTGTTCCACAAACGTTCTTTCAACACACTAGTAGAGTTTTCTTTGGCAGATAAATTAGTGATTTATGATACGAAGCCGACAATTTTAATTATTGGCCTATCCATAAAAGTTCTGAAGCTAAAAAGTATTTTATTATTTACGCGAAAGTTACAAGAGAAAAATAAAGATAAATAAGTAAATCCACGTGGCTGCATGTGGGGACCGTACTCATCTTCACGTGCCTCGAAGATAAAGAAGATTTTTTTATTATAAGAAGACGAAGCCATGAAGAAGGTAAGAGAAAGAAAAAAATCGAGAAATGTGGCTTTGAAATATTTTAAATTCTACAATATTTAAGTTTAAAATCATTACTCGACATAGTAATTTTGTTGTGCTTTATATTAGGTTTTTAGATTACGTGATATATTTAGAGTAATCCATTGTCTCTCTCCTTTATTTTAAAGGAAAGTTTATTTTAGAAAAATATATTGGAGTAAAATCTCCTCTAAAATAGAGTTTATCTAAAATAAAGGAAAATTTAGAAATGGGCATTGCAAATGGTCTTGGACTCATACTTAAGAGAACTCATACTTACTTAGGAGTCCGACTCCACTGGACATTAACTTCTAAACCAAGATGGCACGAAACTAGAGGAAAAGCTACGGAGATAAATTATTTTTATTCAATTTAATTTTAGTTTACTACCGACAACAGTTTTTCCAGCTGGCAACTTGTGTCTCATTCAGAAGGTTCACTTTCGTAGACCCCTATATAATTAGTATTTTTTGGTTGTAACTTTTTTTCTCTTGTGTCGTTCGTTTGCAGAACTTTTAATCGCAAGTAGGAAAAAGTTACATAGTGAAATTTGTATAGTATTTGTTGTCATTTCTGTCCGAGCTTATCCGATAACTTAGTTATATTAATACTTATTCTGTTGCCATGAATTTGAAGATTGAATTGTCTCAAAATTGCATACACACTTAACCAATAACCACTAGGCAACTATATTATATCGTATTAATTTTATTCAAACGTCTCCAAAAGAACCAGGAGGCAGTTATGTAAGAATCCAGCCAATAAGTTGACCAAATAGAATTAGGAACTTGCTGACCACAAAAAAACATAATTAGAAAGAAATTCATCACAAACAAAATAAAAATTTAGTTTATTTTTTTTAATTAAAGAGATAATATTTATTAAAAATGAAATTCAAACTTAATGCAATTTTTGTTTTAAATGATGTGACAAAATTATTAAACGAGAAAGGCGAGCGAGAAAAACGAGTGTAGAGAGAATGTGACGGTGCTTAGTGGACCCAGCCTGTCATGGTTCAGTCTCGTCTTGGAGACAACTACATACAGAGTAAGTACATCTACGTACGGTGCGCGATTATCTTCTCCCAGGCGTCTTTCTTTTCTGATTAGAGGCTTTCGTAGTGGTGGTAGTGGTTTCATTTGTATTAGGATATATGTAAATATATCCTCTTAGATTTGATTCTATCAAGATTAGGAAATTTGTATGTGTATAAATACACTTCTCTTCTATTGAATAAAGCAAGTCATTCTAAAATATTTTATGGTATCAGAGAATAAGATCCTGACCTAATTTTTTCTCTCTTCTTCTTCTTCTCCTTTGCTGCCGTCGTCACCCATCTTGTGACCATCGCAGTTTTTTCTATCTTCTACAACCAATAAATCTTCTATTCTTCTATCTTCTATACTTCTCTTCTATTTTCGATGTCGGGAGGTGAAGATTCTCAACTCGCCGTCACCGTAAAACCACCACCCAATCCATACTCCTTAAGTTCATCGGATAACCCTGGATCTTTGATCTCCTCCGTGGTCTTGAAGGAAGACAATTATCCTGAATGGGCTACTGAATTTCGTAACTCTCTCCAAGCCAAGTTCAAGCTTGGTTTCATCGACGGGACAAAACTCAAACCAGAAGCTGATCCTGAACGTGCACAGTGGCTGGCTGCAAATTCTATGATCGTTGGATGGATCCGCACATCTATCGATCCAAAGATTAGGTCCACCGTTTCCTTTATCTCCGAAGCTTCGTTGCTTTGGGAGAGTCTCCGTCTTCGTTTCTCAGTTGGTAATGGAGTCCGAAAACAAGTTCTAAAAGATGAGATCGCTTTGTGCAAACAAGATGGTCAACCGGTTCTAGAATACTACGGACGTCTCTCAAAACTGTGGGAAGAACTTCAAAACTACAAAACCGGTCGTGTATGTCAATGTGAAGCTGCTCTAGACACTGCCAAAGAACGTGAGGATGATAAAATTCATCAATTCTTGTTTGGACTTGATTTGCCTCGATTCTCTCACATTCGGACTAAAATCACTGACGAAGACCCTTTGCCGTCTCTCAATCAAGTCTATTCTCGTGTGATCCGGGAAGAACAAAACTTAGATATTGCGCGATCGAAGGAAACAACAAAGCCGGAGGCCATTGGCTTCTCCGTCAAGTCACAAACACCACCACACGTAGCTGCCATCTCTGCCCCTAAACCGCGAGATCGTTCTTGCACTCACTGTCATCGCCAAGGCCATGACGTCACTGAATGCTTCCTAGTTCATGGATTCCCGGACTGGTACTATGACCAAAAAGGTGGGACTCGCGGTTCCTCGGAAAATAGGGATGCTACTCCTCGTTTTGAAAACAAATCAGCTCAACGTGGTGGTCGCTCAGGCAGAGGTACCGGTCGTGGTCGCGGTAGAGTCAACAACGTTCGTGCAGCCCTATCATCTTCCAACAGTAATGACCAGATAACGCAGCTTATCTCTCTACTACAGGCCCAACGCCCAAACACTTCCTCTGAACGGTTATCGGGTAACACTTGTCTTACTGATGTTATTATAGATACGGGTGCATCGCACCACATGACAGGAGATTGTTCTATATTGGTCGATGTGTATGATATCATTCCATCAGCTGTGACAAAACCCGATGGGAAAGCTTCTCGGGCTACTAAATGTGGCCTACTCCCTCTTGGTCTAAATTATAAGCTTCGCGATGTGCTATTTGTGCCTGATTTTGACTGCACATTGATTTCCGTTTCGAAGTTACTTAAACAGACGGGTTCTATAGCACTTTTCACTGACACTTTGTGTTTCTTACAGGACCGTTTTTCGAGGACTTTGATTGGAGCGGGGGAAGCACGTGAGGGAGTGTACTATTTTACGGGTGTGTTGGCTGCTCGTGCTCACAAAGCTTCGTCGGAATCTGCCTCTCCTGGAGCCCTGTGGCATCGTAGATTAGGCCATCCATCTAACAGTGTTTTGTCTTCTTTACCCGAATGTCGTGATTTTGACAAGAATGACAGTTGTGATGTTTGTCCTCGGGCTAAACAAACACGAGAGATTTTTTCTGTTAGCATTAATAAAACTTCGGAATGTTTTTCTTTAGTTCATTGCGACGTATGGGGTCCTTATCGAACTCCTTCTACAACCGGTGCTGTTTACTTTCTAACTCTTGTTGATGACTACTCACGCTCCGTTTGGACATATCTTATGACCGCTAAGTCGGAAGTTTCTTCATTAATATGGAACTTTTGTGCCATGGCCCACCGTCAGTTCGGCAAAGAAGTCCGCTCCATCCG